AAAAATGATCAATTGAATGCAGCTAAATATAATCTAAAGGTTAAGGTCAAGCTATTTACTCTGAGAAAGTTTAATTTTTTAACTGGTTTATTATTCTTTTCATCTTTATAAAGCAATGTTCTGGTTACCTAGTACTGCTTTGACAAGAATATACCACAGTGGGATGGTTTGAAGAAACAGGAGTTTATTATCTTACAGTTTGGAAGGCTTTAAGTCCAAGTTCAAAGTGCCAGGCTCTAGGGACTGGGTGAAAGCCCCTCAGCCTTGGGCTTCAGCTCTGCCTCCAGCTCCCGGCCCACTGAAGCTGGAGGCTTTTCTTCACTCAACTGGTGGCTGCTGAGGCTGACAAGCCCAAGGATGACAAGTAAAAAGCCACAGTCCCCATGTTACCAAACCACACGGCAGGCCATTAATTCAAGTCCATTAAAAGTCCCAAGGTAGGCAGAGCATGGCAGGCTGCTGAACAATGACTCATCTACATGCAGGGTTCAAGCATGTCATAGGCTAGAAACCATTCCCAAAGCTATTTCTTATATACGAGAAACAGACCACACATCCAAAGCAGCTACTCAGCTGCTCTAATAGATTCCACCATGGAGTTAATTACCAATCTCACCATAGGGAATAACTACATCTAGGGGCCCAGCCACTCTACCAGGCCCGACCAAGTTGACACACAAACGTAACCACTACAAGCAATAACATCATGACAAAGGAACTCACATTTTGGGAAAAACCAAGCAATCCACTAATAATAATTTGAAAATCATCTTATGTCACCTCATTTTCTTTACTCATACTACTTTATCTATTTTATAAATTATTTTGTAAACCACATTTCATTCATATGAAAAAAAATCATCTAAAATAAAATCACTCTGAGGTTGATTAGTATGTGTAAAAAAATATTAGATTGAGATTTAAAAAAAATTAAATTCATTGCAGTTATATCAAATTTTGACTCATAGTGACCTTACAGAACAGAACTGCCCAATTCGGTTTCCAAGGCTGTAAATATTTTTGAAACCAGATTGCTCCATCTTTCTTCCATGGAGTGGCTGTTGGGTTGGAACCATCAATTTTTTGGTTAGCAGCCAAGCACGTAATTCCTGTACCACCAAGGCTCTTAGATTAAGATTAGGTACCTCAAAAACAGAATCTGAACCACAGCCATAGGTTGAGCATGGCCCATACACTTTCATCATATTCTCTTTCTTCTCATTTTGGATACTGTAAACTGCCCTGCACAGGTTCCAGTGTTCTGCAACATAGCCAATGGGTACACCAGGAGGACACTGGACCTCCATCTGCAAATGAAGTTGGGCAGAGGACATGGTATTACATACATAAATACATATGTATAGACATACATGCACACACACACACGATCTTGATGTGTTCTTAAATCATACTAGGACTAAGAAGATTATTGTTGGGGGAGATAATTTTCCATGATTTACTCTCATTGCCATATGACTTACTTGTTGTGACAAGAAAGCAAAGCCCAGACCACTCTTTACCTGGGTTATTTCTCAGTCTTGTATTTGTACTGAGCAGCTTTGAGAAATGGTCATGTCTGCTTTTGGGAAAAAGCAGGGCTGATTGAGTACTCTGCAATAAAATGGTCTGTTCCTCAAGTTCAATGTTCTCAGCTGCATAAACAGTAGTCACCTGGGCTCCTCCAATTTGACTCTTTAGGACTTGGAGTTATGGGAACTGATGCAAAAATGCTGATGCTCACACTGCTTGCTGTGCCATAATTACATCTTTTGTCTCTGATCTATAAGTCTCAATTTTGGCAACAGAATCCATGAATCAGTAACAAGCTATCATAAGATTTACTCAGGGTTAAATTAAATCTCAGACCTGACAATTACAGCAGAAAATTTAAAATGAGGCATTCCAAAAGTATATATTGTGAAACAAATATCATGTTGTATGCTTATGTGCATTAAGCCATTTTAGGTTTATGAAATATTATCTATTATCATCTTTTACATGAATTATATTTATTATAATATTTTTTGTGAAGGATAAAGAGCTTACTATTTTATGGTAATAAAAGAGTCATAAAGGTTAAGTTATTTAGTATAAGCCCAGTGTAAAAGCTCTACTGACTATTTTTATGGTGTCATATACACTTTCCAAAGAATTTTTGGTCACCTAGGACATTGGGCAATCTACTTCCATAGTGATACTTCCTCAGAAACCCAAGGAGGAGTCGCTATGAGTCAGATCTAACTCAATAGTAGTATACAACAACAGGACATTATATATGAAGAAAATAAAAGATCATTAAAAAGGAAAGGAAGAAAAAATCCAAATGGATGTCAGAAGAGAGTATGAAACTTGCACTTGAACTGAGAATACATAAAGCTAATGGGAGAAATGATTATGTAAAGCACTGAACAGAAGATTTCAAAGGGTAGCTCAAGAAGACAAAGCAAAGTATTACAATGAAATGTGCAAAGACCTGTATAGAAAACCAAAGGGAAGAACACAATTGGCTTTCCTCAGGCTGAAAGAACTGAAGAAAAAAAAAATAAGCCTTGAGTTGTAATATTTAAAGATTCTATGGAGAAAATATTGAACAATGTAGGAAGGACCAAAAGATGATGGAAGGAATACAGTGAGTCACTGTACCTAAAAAGATTAGTTAACATTCAACTATTTCGGGAGGTGACATTTGATCAAGAACTTATGGTACTGAAGGAAGAAATCCAAGCTTCACTGAAAACACTGTTGAAAAGCAAGGTTCTAGGGATTGAGAGAATACCTGTAGAGATGTTTCAACAAATGGCTGCAATGTTGGAATCCCACACTTTTTATCCTAAGCAATTTGGAAGATAGCTAGCTACATGGCCAACTGACTGGAAAAGGTCTATTTTGTGCTCATTCCAAAGAAAAGTCCAACAGAATGTAGAAATTACCAAACAATATCATTAATATCACACAAAAGTAAAATTCTGCTGAAAATAATTCATAACCCCACCACTCATCTGTCTGTTGTCATACTGTGGTGGCTTGAGGGTTGCTGTGAAGCTGGAGGCTATGCCACCAGTACTTCAAATACCAGCAGGGTTACTCATGGTGCACAGGTTTCAGTGGAGATTCCAGAGTAAGACAGACTCAGAAGGAAGGGGCTATCCACTTCTCAAAGAATTGGCCAGTAGAAACCCTATGAATAGCAGTGAAACACTTTGTGATATATTACTGGAAAACATTATGAACAGCCCTGAAATATAGTGCCAGATGAGTCCCTTGGGTCAGAAGACACTCAAAACATGACTGGGGAAGAGCTGCCTCCTCAGAGTAGAGTGGACCTTAATGATATGGATGGAGTAAATCATCCAGGACCTCCATTTGCTCATGTACATGAGAGCCAAAATATGACCTTGAATTTAGAGACCATCTGAAGATTGATATCCTAGGCATTAGTAAGCTGAAATGGACTGACTGGTTCTGGCCATTTTGAATCAGACGACCACATGATATACTATGCTGGGAATGACAAATTGAAGAGGAATGGGGTGGCATTCATCGTCACATAGAATGTTTCAAGATCTATCCTGAAGTACAATGATGCCAGTGATAGGATAATATCCATATGCCTACAAAGAAGACCAGTTATTTGAACTATTGTTCAAATTTATGCACCAACCACCATAGCCAAAGATGAGGAAATGGAAGACTTTTACCAACTTCTGCAGTCTGAAATTGACCAAACGTGCAATCGAGATTTGTTGATTATCACTGGTGATTGGAATCCAAAAGTTGGAAAAAAAAGAAGAATCACTGGTAGTTGGAAAATATGGTCTTGGTGACAGAAATGATGCTAGGGAGTACATGATAGAATTTTGCAAGACCAACAAGTTATTCATTACAAATACCTTTTTTCAACAAGATGAACAGCAGCTACACATGTGAACTTCACCAGATGGAATACACAGGAATCAGATTGACTACATCTGTGGAAAGAGGTGAGGAAGAAGCTCAATATATTCCACCAAAACAAGGCCAGGAGCTGACTGTGGAACAGACTATCAATTGCTCATATGCACATTCAAATTGAAAATGAAGACAATTAAAACAAGTCCACCAGCGCTAAAATATGACCTTGATTATATGCCTCCTGAATTTACAGACCATCTAAAGAAGAGATTTAATGCATGGAACACCAATGGCCAAACACCAGAGGAATTGTGGGATGACATCAAATACATCATCCACGAAGAAAGCAAAAGGTCATTAAATATATAGAAAAGGAAGAAAAGACTAAAATGGATGTCAAAAGAGACTCTGAAACTTGCCCTTGAATGGAGAGTAACTAAACAAAATGAAAAAATTGACAAGATAAAAGAGCTGAACTTAAGATTTCAAAGAGCAGCTCTAGAAGATAAAGTCAATTATTATAATGAAATGTGCAAAGACCTGGAGTTAGAAAACCAAAAATGAAGAACACACTAAGCATTTCTCAAGCTGAAAGAAGTGAGGAAAAAATTCAAGCCTTTGCAATATAGAAAAATTCTATGGACAAAATATTGAATGATTCAGGAAATATCAAAAGAAGATGGAAGGAATGCACAGACTCACTATAGCAAAAAGAATTGATCGATATCTATCCATTTCAGGAGATGGCATGTGATCAAGAACCAACGGTATTGAAGGAAGAAGTTGAAGCTGGACTGAAGGAATTGGTGAAGAACAAGACTCCAGGAACTGATGGAATACCTCTTGAGATGTTTCAACAAATGGATGCCACGCCAGGGGCACTCACTTGTCTATGCCAAGAGATTTGGAAGACAGTTACCTGGCCAACTGAGTGGAAGAGATCCATATTTGTACTCATTCCAAAGAAAGGTGATCCCACAGAATGTGGAAATTATTAAACAATATCATTAATATCATATGCAAATAAAATCTTGCTGAAGATAATTCAAAAACTGTTGCAGCCGTATATTGATAGAGAATTTGCAGAAATTCAAGCTGGATTCAGAAGAGGATGTGGAATGAGAGATGTCATTGCTGATGTCAGACGGATCTTGGCTGAAAGCAAAGAATATCAGTTGTGTTTTATTGACTAAGCAAAAGTATTCTATTTTGTGGATCATAACAAATTATGGATAACATTGAGAAGAATGGGAATTCCGGAACACTTAATTGTACTTATGTGGAACCTGTACATAGACCAGGAGACTGTTGTTTGAACAGAACAAGGGGATAATGCATGGCTTAAAATCAGGAAAGGAGTGCATTAGGTTCTATCTGTTTACCATGTTTACTCAATCTGTATGCTGAGCAAATAATCAGAGAAGCTGGACTATATGAAGAAGAGTATGGTATCCAGATCAGAGGAAGACTTATTAACAACCTATGATATGCAGATGACACAACTTTGCTTGATGAAAGTGAGGATGACTTGAAGCACTTACTGATAAAGATTAAAGACTACAGTCTGAAGTATGGATTACATCTCAACATAAAGAAAACTAAAATACTCAAAACTGGGCCTATAAGCAGCATCATGATAAATGGAGAAACAACTGAAGTTGTCAGAGATTTCATTTTATTGGTTCCACAATCAACACCAATGGAAGCAGCAGTCAAGACATCAGATATTGTATTGCACTGGACAAATCAGCTGCAAAAGACCTGTTTAAAGTGCTGAAAAACAAAGATGTCTCTTTGAAGACTAAGGTGTGCCTAACCCAAGCCATGGTATTTTCATTAGCCTCATATGCATTTGAGAGCTGGACAATGTATGTTGTTGTTGTGTGCCATCGAGTCAGCCCTGACTCGTAGTGACCCCTCCTTGGGTTTCCGAGACAGTATCACTACGGAAGTAGATTGCCCAACCTTTCTTCTGAGGATTGGCTAGTGGGTTTGAACCGCCAGCTTTCTGGTTAGCAGTCAAGTGCCTTAGGCACTATGCTACCAGAGCTCCTGGACAATGTATAAGGTAGAGCAAAGAAGAGTTGATGCTTTTGAGTTGTAGTGTTGGTGAAAGATACAGAAGTATCATGGACTGACAAAAGATCTAACAAATCCGTCCTGGAGGAAGTGCACCCAGAATGCACCTTGGAAGCCAGAATGGCCAGACTTCGTTTCACCTACTTTGCTCATGTTGTCAGAAAGGACTGTTCCCTGGAGAAGGATGTCATGCTTGGTAAAGTGGAGGGTCAACAAAAAAGGGGAAGGCTCTCAAATAGATCGATTGACAGAGGCTGCAACAATGGGCTCTGGTATAGCAAGTATTGTGAGGCTGATACAGGACCTGGCAGAGTTTCATTCTGTTGTACACAGGGTCACTATGAGTCAGAACTGGCTCGATGGCATCTAACAACAACAATTCAAAACCAGGTGCAACAGAACATAGATAGGGAATTGCCAGAAAATCAAGGCATATTCAGAAGAGAATATAGAAGGAGGGATAGCATTGTTGATGTGAGACAGATTGTGGCTGAAAGTTGAGAATATCATAGAGATGTTTGTCTGTATTTTATTGACCATGCAAAGGTATTTGACTGTGTGGATCATAACAATCTGTGAATAACATTCGAGTAATAGAAATTCCAGAACACTTAATTGTGAACATGAAAAGCCTATACATAGACCAACAGGCCATCATTTGAACAGAACCATGGGATACTGTGTGGTTTAAAATCAGGAAAGGCATATGTCAGGGTTGTATCTTTTCACCGTGCTTATTCAATCTATATGCTGAGCAAATAATCCAAGAAGCTGGACTATATGAAGAAGGATTGGAGAAGAGTCATTAATAACCTGTTATATGCAGATGATACAGTCTTGCTTGCTGAAAGCAAAGAGGACTTGAAGCACTTTTGATGAAGGTCAAAGACCACAACCTTTATTATGGATTACATTACAACATAAAGAAAACAAAAATACTCACAACAGGACCAATAAGAAACATCATGATAAATGGAGAAAACAGTGAAGTTGTCAAGGATTTGATTTTACTTGGATTTAGTTGCTCATTGAAGCAGCAGTTAAGAAATCAAACAAAGTATTGCACTGGGCAAATCTGCTGCAAAAGACCTCTTTACAGTGTTAAAGAGTAACAATATCACTTTGAAGACTATGGTGTGCCTAACCCAAGCCATGATATTTTTAGTCGCCTCATATGCATGTGAGAGCTGGACAATGAATAAGAAAGACCAAAGAAGAACTAATGTCTTTGAATTGTGGTGTTGGTGAAGAATACTGAAAATACCATGCACTGCCAGAAGAATGAACAAATCTCTCTTGGAAGAAGTGCAGTCAGAATGTTCCTTAGGAGTGAGAATGGCCAGACTTCATCTCACATATTTTGGTTATGTTTTTCAAAGGAACCAGTCCCTGGAGAAGTATATCATGCTTGGTAAAGTAGAGTTTCAGGGAAGACCCTCAATGAGATGGATTGACAGAGTGGCTGCAATGATGGGCTCAAGCACACAACCAGACAGTGTTTTGTTCTGTTGTACATAGGGTCGTTATGCATCAGAACAACTTGACGGCAAGTATCAACAACAATATTATCATGAGGTAGGATCACTCAGCTTCATTGATTAACAAATCAAGATATTGTTCATATATATATATATATATATATATATACACAACACACACATACATACAAATTTGATAGCTTTCTAGAACTAAGATCTCATCTAAGTTGTAGAAAAATATTTTTAAAAAGTTCATATTACAGTATACTCCTCAGCCATAAAAAGGAATAAATTATTGAATCAGGCAACACCTTAGATGAACCTCATGGTGGTAACACTGAGCAAAAAAAGAAAAAATCCCGAAAGGTTAAATTTTATATAATTTCATTTACATATACTTTTGAAATGACAAAATTATAGGTATGGAGTAAAGATTAGTGGTTACCAGAGGTTAGAGATGAAGGGGGGAGGAAGGTTGGGATAGTAATTAAAAGGAATTTTCTGGTATGGAACTGTTGTGTGTCTCTATTGTGGTGGTGGATATAGAAACCTAGGAAGGTGATAAAATTGCATAGAACTAAATACACACAAGTACAAATAAAACAAGAATTCTGAAAAAAAAATCTAGATTATGTTGTGGGACAAAAGTTGATTTACTGATTACTGTAATATGTGTAGGCACAGTTCTAAGCTGTTGTCATTTATTTAGCACTTAATCCTCAAAAACAATACTATAAGATGAGTACTATTATTATCTCCATTTTCCAGATGAATAAATCAAAAGGTTGTAAATAAACTAACATTTGGTAAATGATAGTACTTAACATGGTATTTAAAATCCCAGTAATCTTATGGAGTATTGTTCTACCCATTTTATGAATAATAACACTGAGGCTTAACCAGATTAAGTAAATGACCAAATTTAAGCAGATGCAGTATCTGGAATTCAAACTCTGCTTGGTCTCTCTAAAATGTGTTTATTTTTTTCCCACCTGTAGCTAACAACCTATAGTTTTTAGAGTAATTGAATTATAACTGAGCACAGCTGCATTCCAGCTCCAGCACTGACACCTAAGTATGAGACATTCATGAAGCGCTTCATCTTCTTTAGACTCCTGTTTTTATCTGTAAGGAGCTCTGATAGTGTAGTGGTTAAAGCATTTGGCAGCTAAGCAAAAGGTCTGTGGTTCGAACCCACCAAACACTCCACAAGAGAAAGATGAGGCAGTCTGCTTCAGTAAAGATTTACAACCTTAGAAACCCTATAGGAACCACTGTGAGTTAGAATGAACTCCATGGCAGTGGGTTGTTTTGGTTTTGGTTCTTCATCTGTGGAAAGGTCTGGGTTGTGTGTGGGTAACATGAATTTAACTAAAGTCCCTCCAATTCTAAGAGCACACACTTACTCTTTAGTCATACCTTATCTAAAGATAAGTCAATACATTTAGATAAATGTGCATGGCTGTTATTAATATCTACAATTTCTCATTCAGTAGACACAGTTAATAGAATAGTGGTCATTGACTAAACACCCTAATATGAGTTTGAACCACTGACTAAGACCTTCCCCACCACCACCTTCTTCCATTCTGACTGGCAAAGTCAGTGAAAATCCTCCTTGTGTTATTCTACAAGGAGCACAAGCATGCCTTAAGGGGTGGACCAGGAAGACAGAATGGGTAAGACCTCTATTCTCTGACCTCTTGCCTGGCTGAGGGACAACAGAAGCAACAGCAGGTGCATCTGAAGGGTCGCTGCATTGTCATGATTTCTCTGCCCATACAATCAGTGACCCGGAGGACGAAGGGCCTCAGTGTCCGATAAGCATTCCTGGTGAAGTCATCTGTATCTTCATTTACAATGTAAACCATTTGTTCCGAGTTGTTTTTAATATCATATCTATTATTACTTTCAAAACGTGCAATCACTAAAAAAGCAAATGAGAAAGCCTTCTCCAATTAGAAGCTATTAAAATCATACTCAAGAAATTCTGTGCCGCATTTCTTTAAGGCTTCAAGCAAAATAACTTTTTAAAAATTTCTAGTGACATATATACAAGTGATTAGAATATGAAAGTTATTCGTAAGTCCTCTAAATATTTAAATAGTTTGGAAAATTCCAAACATTTATTTTAAAAAGCTAATTTTAAATGCTTCTTAATTTTTTTCACAAAAAACAAAAGATTGGAACTATTTTCTAGGGTATCTGAATTCATAAAATCTTAATTTAAAAGAATATTTAAATGAAATTTTACACTGGACCATCAATTAACCAGCTCATGAAATATGCTAAGAGAACCAGGGTCATTAATAATTACAAATAGAAAAAGGAACCAAGAAAAGGCAAAGGCTTGATGTAGTGGCCAGACAAATGTGTAAAGATGGTGCAGTGCAGGCCAGCACTTTTGTACTGATGAATAGAAAACAGGTTCCTGTTTCCAGGGCTCATTTCTTCTAACTTTCAACAAAAGGGCACTGGACAGGTGTTCAGTTCTAAATGCTAGTTCTAGCTTTGCCACTGATGAGCTGACTTTGGTGGCCTAATGCCTAAGGCATGTGACTGCTAACCAGAAGGTTGGCAGTTCAGAACACCTACTAGCCACTCCTTGGACGAGTCATGAATTAGCCACTGCTAATTCATTTAGAAGGAGCTCTGGTGGTGCTTGGCTCCTTTTTTTCTCATCTATGAAAGATGACTGTGGAGAAGAAGCCATATGTAAAGGGCAAGGTCATTGAACAGACAATAAGGTCATTTTCATGTCTAAGAAATTATGATTATATGATATATGATGTATAAACAGAGTTATACAAAATAATTCCTTTTATTACTTTCTGGAACACAAGATAATAGAGAACAGTCTTTTTCTCCTGAGCTATTGAGCAATAATTTATATAAAAATATATCTGATAATGTAAATTTCTACTCGTTTCAAATACTGCTGAACAATACAGAATCATACATACATTCCAGAGGCTCAAAATGCTGAAGAACATGTATGTTGTCCAACTGTGGGGATAGAACAAAGTAATTAGGAGAGAGAGAAATAACAAAGTTATATCAAATTAATATTAGAAGAGAAATTGAAGAAACAATTTTATTATTAAAATAATCCATTCATGCTAAAGAAAACTCTATAAAGTTGAATGGAATCAGTTAAAAATATTTTATCAAGTGAAATTAGTTATCTGATCAGATCATTATTAGCACAGCTGCTCAAACTCATTATCACTGAGTCAAAATTTTTCCTTCAGTTCCATTGTAAAGAATTCAACCAGTTGCCTAATATATGAGAAAACTGCCAACTTGTTATAGCAAGAACATCTAGAAAAGGCTGTGTTTATACAGATTCTTCCTAGCTGTCCCACTCTCTCCAATATGCCACCCATAGACTGGAGTTGTTCAGGACACTTTACACAGACCAGCCAAAGAGATAGCAATTCTCTGCACGCCTCAGGGAGAACAAATTAATGAGGAGGCCCTCACACAGCGGTGGCCTGTTTTATATCATTTCACAGATTCTCAGAGAGAGTAACACATTGACGGCCGCTCAAAAGGGATACTAATGCCAAGATCTTCCTTATAAGGAGGGACGAGGGGTTCCCAAGAGAGCAGCAAGCATCTGAAAGCAATGAAGAGAAAGGAAAAGAAAAATTCTGAGATGGGACACCATGAAAAGGGAGGTTAGGAACATCATCATATAAACTTGAGTTTTCTTTAGGAATCACTCCCCAATGTACAGTTAGACCCATTTTTCATTATGCTTGAGAATATTTTAGCAGACAGGATGAAGCCTCCATGAGGACAACTTGATTATATTTCATATATTCTTAATCTCCAAATCCTGAACTTTGCCTGAAATTCCATATCTCACTAAGTATTTGTTGGGTATATCAATGAAGGAAAAATACATGGATGTTGAAATGAGTGAAACTGAAAGTGACTTAGCTGGACATGAAGGATTTGTGGTATGATTGATTATAGGAGAGTATAAAGAGGATACAATTCATGCTTAACTAAAATACTTTTTCTTGTGTGAAAACATAATCACACAAGAGGGCCTAAACACATCTTATAAAATTGTGGCCACTAAAATGGCTTACAGTTCCTTTCAAAACATTGCAGGATACTAAAATCTTGGTAAAAGTGTCCACTGCTGACCAACATTTCCTGATGTAATGATATCTTTTAATGCAGGAGAAGGATGCCCAGTTAGATTCTACGGCTATTAAGGAGCAGATCTTTGAGGAGTTGGTGGATCACTGGCAAAGTAAAAAGTCTGTTCTTACAATCATACTGTTGGACTCTAAGTCATCCTGGTAATGCTGATAAGGATCCATTTAACTTGTGCATAAACCAAAAAAAAAAAAAACCCTCTGCCATGGAGTTGGATCCAACTCATAGTGACCCCTCCTTGGGTTTCCGAGATGGTATCACTACGGAAGTAGATTATCCAACCTTCCTTCCAAGGAACGGCTGGTGGGTTTGAACTGTCAGCCTTCTGGTTAGCAGTCAAACGCTTTAGGCACTGTGCCACTAGAGCTCCTCATTAACTTGTGCATAAGATGTCAAAAAGAGTAGGGCATATAAAGGAAATGATTGTCTATGTGTCTTCCATTCACATCCAGGAAAGCATTTCTACTAACATCAACACATCCCTTGCGTGTGTCCTGTGTGCTCAAAATATAAGGCACTTTACGAACCTTATCTCTTTAACAATTCTTCTAACAATCTAATAACGCAGGCATGCACAGTACTAATTTACAGATGGTAAAATTGAAGGACTAATGTGTTAGGAAAGTTATTTAAAGTTGTAGAGTTAGTAGAGATTAGAGTCAGAATCAAAACCAGGTTTATCTGACTCTAAACCAGTATTTTATGTTTCTTTTTATGTCTACATTTTTAAAACTCTAAACATTCCTGGAAAGGGAAATAGAACTCATCAAATATGTTAACTTTACCTGTCAGTAATAGAAGTTGAGCAACTGCTTTTAAATATTTAATATTGCATCTGTATGATTTTAAGAGAAAGAACTGATTCCAGAATATGCTGGACTTGCAAGGACAACTTCTGTACTTATTGTCAAGTAAGGTCACTAGCTGGCACAAATGTTTTGTGCTCAAGTACAAATGAAAGATTGGCAGTTCAAACCCACCCGGTGATGCCCTGGAAGAAAACCTGGCTATCTGATCCTGTGACAATTAGAAGCAAGAATACCTAATGGGACAGTTCTACTCTGCAACACATAGGATTGCCAGGAGTCAGAATCAACTCAATAGTAACAGGTTTATCAAGTGTAAAAAATGGACTTTCTAAACTTAATGAAGTTTAACTTTAACATTTTATAATATTTGGAAATAATTGAGGGGTTTATTCTAGCACTTTGCCTAAATGACAGTCTTTGTTTTTGTCAATATTTTGGTTCATGTGAAGTCCAAATTTCCTGACTCAACTGACTGGATTTTTTCAACACTGTTAGCATTATATTATGAATTTTCAATGCACAGGATTAACAGGGGAAGATTGGGCAATCTACTTCTGTAGAGATACCTCTTCGGAAACCCAAGGAGGGGTCAATATGAGTCGATGGATTTTATTTGGTTTATCAATATGGAACTGAAAAAAGAAAACTTGTCAATTCTAAGGATTGTTTAACCATGGGAATACCTTGATTAATATTGTGGAGAGACAAGTATTGAATATTGGTTTATCAATATGGAACTGAAAAAAGAAAACTTGTCAAATCTAAGCATTGTTTAATCATGGGAATACTTGATTAATATTGTGGAGAGACAAGTATTGAATTGGGAACTCTTTTTTCCCAATATAGATTGGGACAATGTATTTCAACTTCCCTTTTCCAAGAAAGCAATACAGCATTCAGAAATTTCTGAGGGGTTTCCAATACTAGTTTTATCTTTTTTCCATTAAAGTAATTGTTCTGAGCTTGACATGATCTTTTAAACTGCCTATCTGGTACACCGACTCTCCACAGCACTCCAGTGTTTAATCCGAGTGTCCGGATGCCTCCAAAATATATCTACAGAAATGAATTAAGAGTTCGTGGGAGGGGACGTCTGAGACTTAGCTTGAAGCAAGATCCTCAATAGGCCCCCTATTCTTACTTACACTGTATGCCTTTGGGTGTAGCAAGAGGGACTAAAGAAAATTATGAGTGATGAAGAAAAGCAATGGGTTAAGGTGTGTGAAATTTACCTACTGCATATTGTTCTGTCCTTTTTTTACGTTGCTTTGATTGATGTTAACTCTTTACTTCTAAGCACATGAAACCCAAATTAGCATAGCTTTCTTTTATACTTATTCCTATTTTTTTTAACTGCCATCAACAGGACATCTTAAAATATCTTAAAACTTAGCATACATCCTTTATAAAAACCGTACTCTTTCCATCGACAACATCCCTGTAGTCTCAGCTTCTGCTGCACATTTCCTAAGTTGGCACTACCATTTTTACAGTCTCATAAACTGTCATAATCTGTCATTTCCTTTATCCATTATATTAAGACATTAGTCTTTCTTGTTATATCCCATGGGCATACTTCATATGAAATTAATGGAGTACCTGAGCTAAATATTCCAGACCAGGTGGGCAGTTTGTCATAGGAGTTGGCCCTGGCATCCATATTATTGGAGCAGACTGATTTGGCATAGGATATTTGCCAGGCTGATACTGAATAGCCTGAGTACCACCAGTTGGCTGATACAAAGGGAAGGTACTGGGCTGCTGTGGACTGTAGTATCCCATAGGCAAGCCTCCTGGGTAGCTTGCTGGTAGAGAGACAGTTGGTCCATGGGGCCCTGTGTGCAAAAAACAAATTCAAATATTACATATTAAGATTGTAATATATGGAACTTAACTTTTTAAGCAAAGATGATCTGGGTCTCATGACACTAAGGTCAATTGCCATAATAGAGTTAGTTCACAAAGACAATGTTTTACATTTTACTTTGGTGAGTGGCAACTGGGGTTTTAAGAGCTTGTGAGTGACCATCTAAGGTCTCTCACCATACCGAGCAAAGAAATGGAGGACATGAACCCCAAGCTTCACGACCTTGAGACCAGAAGAACTTGATGGTGCCTGGCTACCACTGCTGACTACTCTGAAAGGGATCACAAAAGGAGGTCCCAAAGAGAGTCGGGGAAAATGTGGAATAAAACTCAAAATCATAAAAAAAGACCAAGCTTACTGGTCTGATGAAGACTGATAGAACCCTGGAGACTATCAGTTCAAGCTAGAGAGGAATTAACCCCACTCAACTGTCAGCCAAAGGATAGACAGATCTATAAGGTAAACAGTAATATCAGAAGGGTATGCACTTATTAGAACAATCAAGTATATGAATTAAGACAGCATTTGCCCAGGGATAGAGCTAGGAAAGTGAGAGGGGATGGAAGGAAGGAGGAAAGAAAGAGCTGGATACAGGCAGGAGGTGGGAAGAATGCTGTTACATTGTGGGGATTGCAGTAAATGTCAAAAAATAGAATGCATATGGATCATTAAAAAGAAAACCAATTTGTACCCCCCCCCACCACAAAAAATAAACAAACAAATAAATAACTACAGGCTTCATTTTTCAGAAAGTGTACTGTGTACAAAGGCTGATTTACAGATTGCTAATTCATTTAATACTCTTAAACCTTATGACATAGTCACCTGCATTTCAGAGTTGCAAAATAAGGTTTGAAACATCAAGTCACTTATTAAGCATCTCTGTGCCTTAGGTTGTTGTGAGATTAGAAGTAGATTTGGCATGTAAATTTTTGTCATAATGTTTACTGCTGTTATTTTTTAATGTCATAAACATAGAGTTGTTTTTTGTTGTTAGTTGCTGTGATAGTTGGAGCTGTGTGTCAACTTGGTTGGACCCCAGTTCTGTG